CTTCAGGTCTTCAAGGCTTCAGGTCGTCACTAGGCTTCAGGTCGTCAGCAGGGTTTCAAGGCTTCAAGGCTTCATGTCTTCAGAGGAAAGTCACCCGGGATTGCCAGCACACTGTCTTTTCATGTGCTTTTCATGATCCATGTGACGCACGTGCAAGACACTTGGAAGCCCCGGTTCAAAAAGGTACAGGGTTGATCAGGGTTGTCCCGGTCTGAGGGGTTAGCAGTTTGGCTTTCCAGACCGACTGAGGACGCGGCTCTGCAAGTCGCCCGCGGATGGTCCTTGCAGGTATGATGCCGCGGTTTGGGGGGACCAGTCATGGACCAAACAGGAGAAAACCACCGATTTTCTTCGATTTGATGACCTTTCCCTATTTTTCCGGCTTCGACATTCTCAATAATAGACGGATCATGAAGATCGCCAGGACACCAGTCGATGTCTGGCTCTTTTGTCTGCCTTGTGAGGCCGAGGAACTGCAGCGGCAGGTGAACCAGCAAGTGCAGGAGCGTGGACGCTTGGAGGCCGAATTGGCCAGGCACCTGGCGCGGTGTCGCGCCATATCCTCCGCGGTGTGGCTGGGACAAGAAGCCAAGAAGAGATTCGAGTTCGGTGTCCAAGCCTTGCATTTTTTCATGTCAGTCCTTCCAACACAACCATTTTTTGGGGTGGACGGGTGGTTGGCGGGCTACTTGTGTAGTCACAGGTGGGCAGTGGGGCACTAGGGCCGGGCACCTGGACTCACGCCTGGGCGGAGGCTACGAGCAGAACATGGCGCCTTAGCCGAGACCCCCATGGTGGCTGAAAGCCCACTGTCTCAAGCAGAAAGATGGGTGGGGTACCTCAGGCACTTTTGGTGCAATACTACCTTTTGGTAGCAAATTGTTGTAGAGGCACCAGGGAGCCGACCTGGCCCAGGTGCTTTACACAGAAATACCCAAAGTGGAGGCAGCATCAAGCCAGGGCCTCAAAAAAAAACGGCACAGAGAGGTGACAAAACAATTGCTGCAATGCTCAGGTTTGACCTACTTTGGGCAAGTGCAGATGGACTTTGATCGCGAGGAGTTGTGCGCTTTTCTCATTTTCTGTTGGTGTGGAGGGTCACGGAAGGTCCATGGAGAAAGACTAGGCCTAGGCTTTGGGTGCATTTTGGGTCAACATGAGGAGTTTGTGGCCCCCTTGGCGCCCTTGGCCGCGGTCAACTTGGCACACCGGGCTGCTGCCACGGCGGCTTTGGAGCGGGGTGATGTGGCGCGAGTAGCCCTGAAGAGGTACATCCAGCAGGACGCAGCGAGCAGAGGCTGTCTGGAAGGCCTGGGCCCAGCCCGGATCTTTTTGGGCTCGGTCTTCCAGCACTTTGGGCTCACACCACCCATGGAAGCTCATGTGTTGATGATCTACCGGCTTTTTGCCCAAGAGGAGCGTTTGAATGCCAGAGCTTCTTTATGCCTTTGCGATGCGCTGATGAGAACGGTGCTGCGCAGCCGCCCCAGGCCTGGGCCTGCGTCCCCCGTTGTACGGGTCGCCCAAATCCAGCCTTCCTCCAGCTGGACCTGGAAAGAGCCCGAGGTGGCGGCCGAAGCACCAGCTGAGGTGACCAAGTGCCGTTTCTGTGACGAAGCCTTTGAGGATGAAGACTCTGCCTTTTGCACCGCGTGTGGTGCACGGCGCGAAGGGTCACCGTGCAAATCCACCAGTCCTGTCCTAAGCCCCACAGCTACATCCACCATTCCGGCCACGCCCATCCCTTCAAAGTGTGGGCGCTGTGGGTGGTTGAATGAATCTGATTCCCAGTTCTGCAGCATGTGTGGAGCGCCGCTGGAGGGGGCCGTGCCAGTGCCACCGGCTCGGATGGTAAGCCCCAGGCGCTTGGATCAAAGTCGCATCCGAACTTGTCAACCGGTGAGTGCAGAGATGCAAGTTGGTCTGCAACCGACGCCTGTGCCGGTCACAGCCAGGATTGGACCTACTCCAGTTCCACTCGCCAAGTCTTAGTGACCACGAAACGGGATTGGTTTGGATTTGTCTAGCTGCCAGCTGCTCTAGCTCTTGAGCCAATGACACTGCACAGGAGAAAAAGACTTGGGTGAAGGCATCCTGCACTTTCACCTCACATTTGGATGCGTGGGTGTGCCAGCATATTGACTGAAGGACTGTCACGAACCAGCATTGACAACATCAGCTTCTGGATCAAGCAAAGCACACCAAGTCGTGCGCTATGGGCTGCCCACCCACCTTCACGCCCCGGCCTAAGCAACGATAGGATGTAGGCCTGTAGGCTGTGCTACCTTTGTGCATGATTTGTTGTTGCAACAGAGAACAATGATATAAAGTGATCAACGCCCAAGTGATACGTCTTGGAGCCTTCGACTTTATGCTGCAGTGTAACTTGCATTGGCGGTTTCGGCTTTCCCGTCCTTCCATTTCAGCCTCAAGTCTTGACAATGAGCAAGCCACTCATCTCAGCGAATGGGTAAGCGTGGGCAGAGGCTTGGCAGCATGTCTCCTGGGTCTTGGCGTCAAATCGGGGTTGTGTGGCATCTCTTTGGTAGTTCACAATCATTCCCTGCCCAGAACGGTTTGTTCTCCTCATTCGGAAGAGTGTTCCAATAGTGTGGCATGAGTCACATTTGGTGCCGAAAAATGCTTTGCACCCTCAAGCCAATACAGCTTTTAACTGATGTTCATCTGTTCATCCCACCCAACATGTCGACAACAGGTTCTATCCGCCCATGCCCAAAGTGCCTTCGGGTGTGTTACGTTATGACCGACAGCCGCGCGACACATCGTGAGGAAGCGAGCTCTGGATAGTGGAGAGGAGGTTCCTCTACGCAGCTTCGCTGCAAGCTAGATGTTCCATCAAGGTGGTTCTACTGGGAGGGGAGATTGAGTTGTGAAGACCTTCACCACAGCTGAAGGAGACCATACTGGTATCTCACAACCCTTGCTGAAATATGCTGAAATAGGTTTCGGTTTTGCCTATTTTAGGGTCGTTGCAGGGATGACAAGCGATGAACCCTCATTATGCTTTCGAGCAAGTATACCCTCTAGCTCCAACCGGGTTCTGCAGCTGAGGCAGCGATGAGCTACGCCCACCCGATGAGCTCCCCGAACGCGAGGCCGCAGCAGTGCGCGTCGCGCTGGAGCGCTGGCAAGAGCTCAGGCCGGGGCGTCGCCGCGCGCGCCACGACGGCTGGGCCGCCAGGGTGGACGGGTCCAATCCATAGGGTGCATTCACTTATATCGGACTCCTTTGTTTTGGTGGATGACTTTCCTGTGCGTCGTGGTGTGCCACAATCGGCCGGAATCGATCAATTCACCTGGCGGGGGGGGACTGTTAATGTCAGTTCTCTACCACCACGAAATCTGGATCCCCGTCGCCTTGGTTTGCTGCAGTCTGGAGTCGGGCCAGGCTGCGGGCAGAGGTTTTGAGACCGATGCTGGAGCATGAGGTGCGTGATGGGACCGCGCAGGGGGCCGGGGGGAATGCGCAGGGGGTCAGACAGGGTTTCTTTTTGGTTTTCACGGGACTTGGAGCCCAGTGTTTTGTTGTGGCCCTCAGCAGATGGCATTCTCACAGATTCTCAGCATGTGGCCAGGACCGGCTGATGCAGGACATCCTTGACAGAGGTCTCGGCAGCGAAGACCGCAAGACTCTGCGAAAGCTGGCCAGTGTAGGTGGCATGGCGGCAATTTCCCATGTTTTTGCTGATTCATCAGGTGGTCTTGCTTAGGAACGAATGCGGAAGTTCGCCACTCTCTGCAAATTGGCCAAGGGCCGCAAAGACAATTAGGGTGCAATCCCGGACAGTTTGACCCTGTGAAACAGTTGTTGGTCCCCATCACGCCAACTGGTCGGGGCAGTGGACGTCAAAACTCTACGTGCAGTCCATGTTTTTCTTTTTCAATTTAACCACTGCCAGTGGTTTGACATGGTTTGACCATTAGAGAGACTGTTCGTGGTGTGGGGCACGCATCCAAAGGGGCCAAAGGTCCAAGTCTTCCTCCTCGATCGCCCTGTCTGAAAACCCCGAGGTGCGCGCGACGCAGAGGCCGAGGCTGCGCAGGTCGCAGAATCCGCCTCTCGCTGCAGTCAACTTCCGTTGGGTTTTTGTCCGATGTCTGGGTGCGCGCCCCAAAAATCACTCCCACTTCTGCAAAGTCATCGCCCTGGTGCTGCGCTGTAAGATGAGGAAGGACGGTCTTTTTGCCATATAGG